AGGACGAAGGAAAAGTGAAAAGTGAAGGAACATAATTTATGTATTTTACAGGTATATAGCGAATGTTGTACCTGTACATTTTTAAAAGTGTTGTTTTATCTATTAAGAAACAAGAAAGCTTTAAAAATAGAAGAACCGTAGCCAGGAGAAAACATATTAAAAATTTATTTTAAAAAAACGTTCACTGACTATATAGAGTTACAACTTTTGAGCTTTCGGCTGTCAGACTACAGCCTTTGATGGATAAAAATGGAAAATAAAGACAACTATAGATATATGCAAAAATAGGTGGGATCATAAAAAGAATACATTAAAATGGAAAAAATATAAATGTTATCAAACTAACTTTCTCTTTTAAAAGAATAGAGTATTGATTGGGGAGCGGCCTTGAATTGTTATCTCCATGATTTGTCGAAGCGGTGTGCCATAATTCTAGCGTCTTCCGAATACGGAAAGAACCCTTGTCAATCACTAGAGCGATTAGTCAATAGAGTGATTTTAAGACCAAGCGTTGAATCGAAGGTCGGGATTTAGGAGAGGGAAACGCCTGTTGAAATGTCTTGACTGGCTTGTTGACCACTCGAATATCATGTTTTTGAAGTTAGAGGTTGGGAAATTCCATTAATGTAAGGGAGGACTGCATAACTGGGGGAATCGGAGGGTATGGCCCATTTGAAAAACGCACAAAAATGGTAGATCCTTAGGTGCTGGGATGCAATATACATACACGTCAGTGGGCCAGGGCTTAGACCTAAACCACTGCATCCGGGGTCCAACGTACCAGCCATTAGCTGCCAGTGCACCAGTGTGCCAGAGCGTATCAAAATTTACTTTATTGACGACCGTTCAGAAAGCATATTTTTCTTTCCGCGACATACACTAATGGTCGGTTGACTGGAATAACCTTTTTCACTGTTTCTCTCGCTTGCATTGCAATATAATCCAAGCAGTGGATGCGAGGCAATTTCGGACAGAAAATACAAAATTGCCCGAAATTGCCTTACCACGATGTTGGATCAATTGTAATTTAAATGAGAGCCGTGAAAATGGTTATTATCGAGACAAATGTGAAACCATACGTTACAAGCCAAAACCTAGTTCTGTGTTAAATAACCTCCGTTTGTCACTCGTTAAATGTCAAGCTAAATTCGAAACCGGCAAATGTTTCTGTTCTGACATGGGTCGATGGTAAAAGTGGGGTAAAAGTTCCCGATATTTGCCCGCTCGCGTATTTGCAACCAGAGAATCTAAAACAAAGGAGACCCTTTCTATGCAAAACTTTGTGAAAACGTTGTTTATCTCGTCTCCGTGGATGTTACTAAAACTGGTAACGGGGAACGGGGAACGGGGAACGGGGAACGGGGAACGGGGAACGGGGAA